CGGCCAGGGTCAAACCACTACACTTGGCCATGAATTTAATTCTGTGTTTAGCTTTTTTTAATAGGTGATAATGTTGGCTTCAATCTCTCTAGTTTGGTAGAGGCTGAAGACCAGCAGCGACTGTCTCAGTTTAATTCATCTTCCTTATTTAGGCAGGTGAGCACCCAATAGCTCACTGTGTTGTAGCATCTACTTCCCCTTCATGAAGGTTGGCCCGAATTTCTGGGACCCATAAATTAAGGTGCTCGAAGTGTAAACATGGTGGGGACTTTATGTCTGCTGAGTAGTTTTAGTAGCAGCAAACACGAAGAAATAATCAGATTTGCAACTGAAGCAGAGAACTTTATGAGTATTTCTGCATTTATTCATTGTGCTACATCCTGTCTAACATCAGAGGCCTTAACCTTCCCAGTAGTTCAGATGATCTGTAGATCTGCTATAGGTCTTGTGCATATTTGCTCTTGTAATAATTTGTTTATTAATTATGTTTGCAACCTCCCATTGCTGTCTTCAATTAGGCCAAAGGTCTGTAAGTCACTGGTTTTCATAACCTCCTGTTTTGGGGAGGAATTGCAACGCAGAGGCCCCCTTCTTACTCCGGTGGGATGGTGGTGATGGCACTCACTCCACCCTGAGCAGGAGGGAGTTTCACCTGTTGCTCCATGAGTCTGTTTTTGCAAATTAAGTGCATTACTGCTGGGTTTCCAAAAGATTCCACCAATCCCCCTCCAAATCTGAGCAGTAAGGCGGTCTCTGGGGCCTAAGCAGGTGTCACACAGAGTAAGGACATCTGAGCAATTCGGCAGGCAGACAGTCTTTGCAAGGGAGGCAGTAATGTTTTGTTTTGCTTTGTTTTAATTGTAGCTACAATTTGGGCAGCGGCATTGCCTCCATCGTGGTGAATGGCTCTTTCAGCGACGGCCGGTGGCACAGAGTCAAGGCTGTTCGGTAAGTGGCCATACTTCATGTGGGAGGTGTTTTGGAGCCACCCTGCCATTAAAGGTGCTGCTGGTGTGTCTGAATGCTGGCTGGGTGTGAATCACTGGGGCTTCATGCTCTCATACCTCATAGGAGTTGAACCCTCAGCAACTTGGCTGTTTCAGGACGGTGTACACAAAGATTTTTGTATTAGAGGTGACAGTGCCAACTCGGCACAGCTCAAGGCAGGCTGCCAAAGACATGCAGGGCTATTCTGGGGCTGTGACAGACATTCTATTAAACCCATACCATTTGAGTTAAGAGTGTTTTTCTTTAATGTCTGCATTTTGAAATTCCCTAGTGAGCATTTTGTGGGCTGGCGCTAGCACTGGAGCACGGACAGTGTATGCCTACTTTCTTCTATTTGGAGAAGGTGCAGACATCTTGCAGTGTATATAAAACTCGTATTTATAGCTCATTACCTCATGGGAGGCAAGTGTGCCCAGGAGGGAAGGCACACATCCCTCTCTTGATGACATGTTAGTTCCCTGGAAATCACAGGCTGACATTAGCACAACTTGTTACCAAATTCAGTGAGAACAGAAGCCTGTTAAATGGCTCTTAGACCAATGTGGTTACTGACCATGTATAAAATGGAAGTGGTCTAAAAACTCTAGTAAGAAACAAAACTGCTTATCTTTTACCTTAGCTTGACTATTTCTTCCTTTCTACTGAAGCTTCTACTGTTTACTTTCTATATTACATCTGATTTTTAAGAACATATCAGAAGGTGTCTGTTCTTCCCTTTGCGTTGTCTCTTTCCCAGTTTTTTCTCCTCTGCAAATGGGGCCCACACCCTTTGCAGGCCTCTGGCATCGTAGTCCTTGGAAAACAAAAATGCCCTGAAGGGTCTGAATTGCTGTAGCACACTGTTGTCTGTGGGGCTCCCCAACACCAACGCCGAGACTGCTGTGAATCCTGCTGAGCACCACGTTGCCCTGGTCTCCTGGCAAGGGGGAGGTGCTGCTGCTCCTTCTCTCCACTGGCTGCAGGCTGGATGTGTGAAAGCGGTTTTGTTTTCCGTTTCAGGGATGGGCAGTCTGGCAAAGTAACTGTGGACGATTATGGTGCCAGGACTGGTAAATCTCCTGGGAAGATGAGGCAGTTAAACATCAATGGAGATCTCTATGTAGGTAAGTGCTCAGCGTTCACACTCAGGACCCAGACACATTTCTGTGTTTGCAAGGTCGGCTGCAAGGCAGAGCATCCCAGCTCTGTCCATCTCAAGGTGACGGTTTTACACCGCACCCTCTGGTCCTTCACAGCTATTTTTTGTGGGGAGGCCTCTCTGGGTGGGATAGAGGAGATTGCTATGAGAAGGAACCAGCACCGTGGGGTGCACTGTGGTACCCCCAGTGTGAACAGACAAAACCAGTGAGTGGCAGCTGCAAACCCTGTACATTAGTGAGATTCTGGAAACAAAATTATTCACCTCTTACTGACTACATTTTCCACAATAAATAATTGTCATCTTGGTTTATTAGATTATTATTGTATTCAGTGTATTATTATTTTTAAACAGGATTATTTACAATATTAATACCATACTATTTTATAGTATGGTATATTATTTTATAAACTAAAATTCACCTCTGAGGTGTGCTAGGAAGGCTAATGGCATTGCTGGCTGAGCAGGACCAGGTGCCTGTGTCAATGAAGAATTTCTCATTGCTGCCGTAGAAGAAAATGTTTTTCTCATCTATTTTTTTCTCATTATGGTTTTTGTTTTTCCCCAGGCGGCATGAAGGAAATAGCCCTGCATACAAACAGGCAGTACATGCGGGGCCTGGTAGGCTGCATCTCTCACCTCACGCTCTCGACTGATTACCACATCTCACTGGTGGAGGATGCCACCGATGGGAAGAACATCAACACATGTGGGACCAAGTGACAAGAGAGGAATCCCGGTGCTGAGGACCCGTCGTGTGCTTGCGTGTGTGGCTGAGCACGAGCTGGCTGCCACATCCCTCTGCAGCCGCACCGCGTTTGCCACCTGGGAAGGTGACAGAGCCAAAGGGAACACCCCTCCCCACCCCCAAAGAAAAAGACCAAAACCCTTTTTCCCCTCTCCTTATCTTTCCTTTTCTGACCAAACCAAACTGAGTATTTTGTGTAGGAGTATTTGGGGTCTGAGTATTTTTTGTCCCCTCTGCTCGCTAATTGTTTAGTGAACGCTAAAGGTGCAAAGGGCAAAGAAATGTGTGATGTTACGGGTAGCTCAATGACTGTGTTGTGGTCCTTAGGTTATCTTTTGTAGTATGAGGGAAAGCAGTCTTGAAACACTTGCATTCATCCTACCCTGCAGTGGTACAATGACTGTGCTGTTCAACAAATACACCATCAGGCAGTGTAACTATGCATTTAAATGTATGTCCTGGAACAAGCAGTTCTCCTTACCATGCTCAGATTTAGCTAAACTATGTTTCATTTTGTGTGAGAAACAGCTACAGTGACTGGTTTCAAAACGTTGTTGTTTGTGGAGGAGGGAGGTTCTTAAAGTCTACTTTTTTAATGCAAGCAACAAAATCAATGAAACAATTTTGTAGAAGTAATTTTATACTTGTATATTTTTTATAGCAGCAGGAGACCTGCTTACATGGTATAACTTCTAACATTTAGATGTACTATAAAATTAGCTCTTTGCACACTTTCCTAAAAATAGCAAAGTGACCTATGGTTTAAATTTGTTATATGAGATGCTTAATGTCTGTATTACACAGTTTTGATGGGGATATTTGTGAGTTATGACCAATTTTAAATCTCTTCTTGTTTTGTAAATTTTGACAGTTGAAAAGTGTACATTATGGAGCTTTCCTGGCTTAAACAGATTAAAAGATTAGGAAAAAAAAAAGAGCAAATACTTGCTACTGTGGTATTATAAATCACTTTCCCCCCCCCCCCCCACCCAACAATTAAAAAACTCTCCCCCCCCCCCCCCCCCTGAAAAATGAAGAAAAGGGATGTGCAAGAGACCTTAGTGGGTCACAGTCCTCTTAAAATGTTTTCTAGGCACCAGACCAACACTTATGCAACCTTGATTTCCAGATTGTAATTTAAGTAGGCGAACAGAGTGCTGTCCAGACACTGAGGAAATGGTCCGGAATTTCATACTTTGGGGATTTTTCTTCCTTAACTCTTTGAAGTGGATCAGTGAGCCACCAGAGGGGAGAAGAGAGACCTACCGCGCGGTGGAGCACCCCATGGCTCACTACATACCGGCAGCAGGAGAAGCCTGCTCAGTGGCACAGGCTCCCATGAATGCCTGTGTGCGACCTGATGTGGTGAAAACCACGGAGATCAGGAGGCTTCTCCTGCATTTGTGCTATTCCCAGGGTGCTCCTGGCTCCCTGGCAGCTAGAACACTTTCAGGAGACTTGTCCCATCTACAGCTGACTGTGAGCAGCTGCAGTCAGGAGGAGAAAACAACAATAGCTGATGCTAGATAATGGCACATGTAATTAACTGCCAAGGAGACCCCAGCTCCTCCTGCCCTTGAAAGGGACACCCTGATCACTTGGGTGAAAGATCTTGTGCTCCTTGTAGATATGGCAACAGTAGTAAAACACAAATACAGGCACTTGTTTGAAATAAAAAGAAAAATACGTGGTGGTGCCAGCATGTAACGTGCAGCTGTGATCTGCCCCAACTGTCTGTAGAAGACACAGGCAGCTTTCAGAGGAGCTGGAGACGCTCCTGGCTCTCACTCCTGGAGAAGCAAAAGTTTTATTTTGCTTGGGGAGCCCCATGTGGGGAAAGAAACCTGTGCATGTTTGGGAAAAAGCAGGATAGAGTATATATGATCAAAATGTCCTCTAAAATTAATGTATAAGGAATTTGATGCCATGGGATATAAAGAGGGAATATGCAGATTTTGAAAAGGGGTGGCAACTAAAACCTCTGGAGGCTGAAGGTCTTGCTGGCTGCTCACTGCTGCAGTGGCAGCCAGACACAACCTGCGCCTGGGCTACATCACAGCTGTTGGAGAGAAAAGACTTGTGTTTTCTCAGCTCAAGGGGTTTCCCAGATGGCAGTGACTTCTCGTGACCTGGTACAAGGTGGGGAGATCTCGCCAACTGTACCCCTAGTCCTGTGGACCTGTTGTGCTGCTGCTGACAGGGCGACAACACTGGTCCAGAAATGGCATCAGCCACCACGGTCACATGTGCCTTGCCTTTCCCATCCTTTCATTTCTGTCACAGGGTTTGGAGAGCAGCTCCAAGACAAACATCTGGTGGGAGAGGTCTCTATTTTCAGATAATTTACTGCAGAACAACAGGTGTTTTGGTACAAGGCAATATTTCTCCAGAACAAAAGCTTCTCTTTGAAATGCAGGGTAAGGGGGGGAGGGAGGGGGTGGAAGGAGTAGGAAATACCTCCGTTGTTGTTTTGAAAAAATAAGAGCAACAAATAGCAGCTCCCTAAATGCCTGTTTCCAACTATGCGTATCACCACGAAGGAATTCAGAGCTGGCAGCATCACCCTGCTGTGGTGTAGACTGAGCACGAGCGGCACAGCTGCGTGGTGCCGGCCAGGCGGAGACAAATTGCAAAGATGCTGCGGGGTTTGAATCTTTTAAAGAAAAGGGGAAAAAGAAAGGTCCTTTCTGCATCCTTTTAAAGACAGTCTGAGAAACTTTTGAAGAGGGGAGCATCCTGCATCCACATCTCCATTCTCCCTGGTGAAACTTGGGGCCAGGGTTTCTACTCAAGGGGCTGAGCTGGAAATAGATGCCAGAAGCTCAGGAACATCTGACCAGATGTGGAGGCTCAGCTGCCCCCCCAGCCCCCTGATGCTGGGCCAGGGAAGGAGAGGGGAAGGGCCGACAGTGCATGGCAGAGTGCTTAGTCATTTTCCCAGGAACTGGCCTGGATGTATGTCTCACTGTCTCCAAGGATGTTTATTAATCACATTATTTATTACTCGGGCCATGTCAGATGCCTGGCATGACCCTGGTTCTGCTGCAGGATGAGCTCTTGGCTCTTGACAGACCCATGTCCTTTTTTTTCCTGAAAATATCTGTACAAACCAGCAATGACGCCCAGGTGCTTGTGCCTCTCAGCAACTTAACCCCCTTCCTAAAACTGCAGTTCCTAGCATTCTTCTTAATTTTTTACATGAATCCCCAAAAGACATTGCCCTCCACTTTCTAGGGCTAAAACCCCTGCCTTGATGCCTTGGAGGAGCTGACTTAGGATTTGTGCTGGGTGCTGGCTGTTGTGTAGAGCTGCTGCCTGCCCACCCCTCTCCCTGCCCAGGGCACAGCATATCTCCCTGCTCACCCCCACTCCTTCACCTCCCTGGGGACCAGCCTCTCCGGAATCAGCAGTTAGGTTTACTCAGGTCATCCTAAAGCAAAATAAGGAAGAAGAAGAAACTAAAACAAAAAAACACTGAGTAAAAGGAGACATCAAGGGGAAGAAAACCCAGGGGAAACCTAGCAAAGGTTTGGTAGGCAAATTCTTCCTGCACTAGTGTGGTCTGGGTGGCCAAAGGTGAGGGTCCAGGAGCTCTTTTCCATCTGAGTCCTCCCAGATGGGCACCAGGGAGCAAAGAGGTGAAGACGAGGAGAAGCTGGCAGGGTTGGGAAGCTGTGCATTCCCTGCTGGTGCATTAACCTGCCAGAGATGCCTGTTAAAAGGTACTGTTTTGTTAGCCAGGGTTGGATTTTGAGAAAAATTTTCATGTTGACAAAGCAAAATAAGCTGGGTGAGAAATGCATCATGCCAGCTCTGCTCATGCAGTTTCCTCCATTGTGGCATCACCCCTCAAGGGACAAATTACCTCACTTTAAAGGACTAGATAAAATGCAGCTGTGGTTTACTCACAGAGAGCAGCAGTCACATCCCATCAGTCAGATGTGTCTTTTATCAGCATTTTATTTCTTGGGAGCTGTGTGTGCACACAGCAGAGTTTTCCCTTTTCCAAAGCAACACCTTGGTCTGATGTCCAAGTTGGGGCATCACTTGCTCCAGTAAGTGCATCCCTCCCTCCCACACCATTTTCCATGGGTTTGAGTTGCCACAAGCACCCTGGTCCCCTCATGGGGTGATGATATGTCCCTGCCCCTGCACTCGAGTGTCACACATGGGTAACAGCTTGGCGCTGGCACCTGCAGTTGCTGCAGCTCTGCCAGGTTCTGGCTTTCTGCCCCCGTGGACAAGACTTGACTTGTCTGTGAGTGCTTTCTTCTCAAACCCCCTGCAGCCTGGCAGTGCTGCCACTGACTGCCCTTATTTCTCTCAAATATCCATTCACTGTCAGAGTTTTTATCTTTGTTTATTGTGTGCAGGACAAAGACAGCATTGTTCCTCTCCCACTGTATTTCTTTTCTATGTTTCCCTCTGTCTTCCTTTCTAGGAAGGCAATGGTGCTGTTCTTTCAACACCTGTCTCCACAGATCATGTTTTCCAGCATCATGTATGGGGACAGCGTGAAGAAGTGGGGCTGCTGAGCAAAGACACCCCATGTTCAGTCTCACAAAACAGAAGCTTTGTAACCTGCTCTTTTGCTTTGCAGACCCTTAAATAGTTTCTGATGGCAATAGCCACGATGTTATGTTGTCACTTTTTGCGGACACATAGAATTTTCCTCAGTTTTCCTGTCTTTGGAAGACACATTGAGGGCCAATATTTATTATTTTATTCACAATTTCTCTTACTTCTATTTTTTTTCCTTGCTACAGCTTTTAATGCTGGTGTCATCACAGTTGAATTCAAAAATGAAATCACCAATTTATCATGAAGTTCAGGCAGTTTCATCTGAAATGATCATTCTTACCAACAGACAGGGTTGTTTTTTAAGAACTAACAAATGTCTCATACACAGAGACTCTATAACCTTTATTTATGTGTTGAGAGCTTTTTTAGGAATGCAGGAAATGCAGGAAAATGC